TATATTTTGTGTAAAATGTTTATTTACATTTTAATATATAAATTCTTAAAGCAAACAGGACAACATCACAAAATATTCAAATTCCATTAACTTCAAATTGATCTAAATTTTCCTTTGAACTTTTTGAAATGTCATCTTCTTTGATAAAATTTGTTGAAGCTTCAACTTTCAAGATTATTTTTGAATTTTTTTTCATCTTTTATTTTTACTTTGTTTGTTGATATTTTTTTTCAAAGTCAGATTTTATAGAATAAGTAGTGAATAAAGAAAATAGTTAATTAAATGAATGAAGTACTCTCCCAATGAAATTAATTACTTGTAGATTTCCTAGGCTAGTCAAAGTAAATACATTTTCAAGATTAATTAATTAATTTATCAAGGATATAATGGGCAAAAAATGGTAATTTATGCATAAATTTTATAAAATGACATATATTGTGGTCCAACTATATTTAGAAAGGGGCGACATATAATATGGGACGGAGGGAGTATTATTTAAAAATTAAGTTCAAAATGAACTATAAAATACAATAATTAATGACTTAATATATTAAAGAGACATATAAAAAATGGTTAATTTTTGAAATTCTGCATGTGCCACATAAATTGGAACAAAGAGAGTAATAAATATTATTTTCAAAATTATGTAAAAAAAAGTACTATAAATCACAATAGCTAACAATTTAAAATATTTTTAAAATCATATAAAAAATTCAATAACTTCTCAAATTCCATAATATGACATAAATTAAAATAAAAAAATATATATACTGGGCCCACACGGGTCCTGTATCTAGTCATTTCTCTAATCCATTAAAAACTATAAACTACTTAATATAAATACTATGATAAAATATATATATTTCATCTATATTATTTTTTAAGGGGGCTGAGAAAGGTCTGTAATTATAAAGGTCATCTGCGCATGTTATTGCTTCACTATTTTGTTTAAGAGATTACTGATTTATAAACTAAAGTTTCAATTCTTCGAAAATCTCCTAATATTTGGTGGAATAAGTTTTCGATGTCACATCACTATAACAAAAATATTATTTAATGACAATAAATAAATATATTAATAAAGAGTGCTAATTTTTTTTTTATTGGCATTAGTTTATTGTCATTGAATTTAATGTCGCTAAAAGTTTTAGGAATATATACAAAAACAAACTATTACCACTAAAAATACATATTTAACGATAATTAAATTATTACCATTAAAAATCATTTTTAGTATAGTGCATTTCTCCGTGTAAATTGAAAATTGGACAAGTCATAAATACCTAAAATTCAGTCACATGTGCGTGAAGTTACCCTATTTCAGTCGAAAGTCAAAGTTGTTAGACTTGCAATTTTTTTATGAAACTAGGACATGGCTTAAGTAGGGCCCTAAAGTCGGCTATCTGTTCAACTTCAACCCGTCTGTCTTTCCTTTTTTTTTTTTTAATTCAAAAAAACATATAAAATAGTAAATTATTATTTCAAATTAAATACTATAATTACAATTTCATTTAATTCTAATTCGTAACAAACACTTTGTCAGCCTCTCTCCTCAGAAATTTCGCTCGCCACTCTCTCAGATCTCGTTGCCACTCTTCCTCACCTCTCTCACTTTATACAAACACAACTATATAAATTGTGTTACTGTTTGTATAAAGCGAGAGAAAATTGTATGTATAAATACAGATTTTCCCCTACCAGTTCTCTTTTGCCTTTCTCTCTTTCTCGCTTTATACAAAGACAAATTATACAAATTACAATGTATAATTTGTGTTGTATAAAGCGAGAGAGAGAGAAATTTTATGTACAAATGTTTTATTTTGATTCAATTGTATACAAATTCAAATTTTATACAGATATACAAACACAATTATTGATACATATACATAATAATTACATATATACAATAATCTAACCGATATACATATACAATCGCTGCGCTCTTTTACAAAACGAGATGTTGCCTGCGATTTATACAAATATGATGCTCCATAGCAAACATAAAATTTGCTATGGAGCTTTTTCCTTGAGGGGAGCCGAGATTCAAAATATGTGGGCCTTTATCGCCGTAAGGCAATCTATCCAAAAAGCCTACCCTATAATAGATTCAGCTAAAGCCGCGCTTGGAAGATTTCTTTCTTAATCATGAATCCGAGCTTACTACTTGAATCACGAAAGGCGCTTTTCTCACTATATTCTCTTTCACTCTCTTTCTTCATTCAGGAAATGTGAAGATTGAATCGGGAACCGAAAACGAAGCAGGAACAGACTTTTCCTTTGGTCGAGTTTGCTTCACTTCCTGAGCCCTCGCCACTTCCTGCGACAGCTAACAAGGGGCATTTAGGACAACTCGTTCATTTAGCACAACTTCCTTTCTCCCCACCCCATATGCCTCATCTGCTTATGCCACTGGTGATGAACTCACTATGGCTATTCAACGTCAAACTCAGAGTTTTTCTCACTGTGAAATGTTCGCATCCAAGTCGTTATTCCTTAATGAGAAGAGGCGGTAATAACTGCGTTTCCCGTTAAAAATAAGGCGGTGGAAGAAGTTTCGGGAGTTACGAAGGAAACTTCGAGCTCATATTGTTCATGGGTTGAGAACGTCAATAAACAGCCTTAAAGTGGTTCCGAATGACCTTGAGGAGGCCCCGACGCAGCACCTTTCTCGCACGAAGGATCGACAAAACCAACGATTAGCCCTGTTTCTTGCTGTTCTTCCATTCCCGACACCAAGCCAAGTCCGCGAAAGGTTTAAGAATAAGAACAAGTGACGGAGAAGTCGTTTACTGATTAGCTGCGCAACCTTACTAAGAAAGGTGCTTGTTGAGTAAGGCCGATTTTCGTTTAGAGTTTCGTACCCAGGCACGGAATCCACTTGCCAACTGATCCGAGTTTGAATTGGGAAACGAACGATCTAAGTAAAGAGGTAGCTCCTGGAAGGTAGTTCTTTGACCCAGTTCAGTGAGACCGGGCTCATTCAGTCTTGATGGAAGATAGTTCAATGTACGCTCGATTGTTAGTAGTTTGAGGGAGAGTTCGAAAGCTTTGCTTTGTCATGATGGGGAGATTGGTCATCTTCTAGCTTACTTTGCTAGACTTCTAATCCTGCCATTCTCCATACTATTATTATGGATATGGAGAATTTTCTTAGAAATCGCATTGCTTTTTCGGTGAGTGAAAAACGAGGAAATACCGATTTCAGTGTCTCCTAGGAGGCGCCATGCGTCGAGTATACGCCCGGTACCCAGCTTCCCGTAAACGCAGCTAAATAAAAAAGAAAGATGTCGATGAAAACGTATTTTATCCCCTATCGCACGGAAAGGGAAACCTATAGTTTGTTTGATAGGCCCGGAAATGCTTCTTATTGGTTCCCTGCCCCTTATCGATGTGAATGGATTTTTAGACTAAACCCAATTTCTAGTGGGTACGTTTTTATACTCGTGTTATAGCTGCTAAAAAGCTATTTCGCATCTTTTAGAATGACACAGCGAGTCCAGACTAGCCTCCTGGACTGAACCCCCCATTCACTTGAGTAGGCGCTTTATCCCAGCGAATAGAAGATACTCAGCTCCGCACAACATAGGGATTAGCACACTTTCGGGAAGAACATAAAATAGTAGAAGATCCAGCATGCAGAACACGACGATCATTATAAATTCACGAATTAGAAATCCTGTAATATACTCTTTCCCATAACTTCTCATACCAGAGACCACTCTACGCCCCCTATTAGAGTAAGGCATGCTCTCAAAACTAGATTCACTCATTCTTGTCTCCAGCGATTAACCTATTCCAGAGCAGTCTGGTGATTAGCCTATCCCGCACTACTCGTTTCTTTATAGTTCTCTAGTTCGACTAAGTGACTTCGTAACCTCAACCTACTTTTTTGCTTACTGTAGCATAGAAATTATGCAAATTGTAGCTATAACATACAAATATGATTTTTATGTTTTTTAAACCTAAAATTTACTCTTTTTTATTTGCACAAGTAGGCGTTAGGCCATGCAATATCACATCATGAAATAAAATCGTAAGATGAAATCAACATTGAGATATGTGATTTTACGCTAGTTACATCTCAAGATATGAATCTCATATTCTCTAAAAATCCTTATTTGGAAATTTCATATCATGATTTGTGATTTTTTAAATATAAAAATTGGCCCACGAGTTTATATTTTATTATAACAACCCCACATTTATATCTACGAGTCATTTATTTCACATGTAAATAAAAATTATAATCATATCTTTACTTTTTAAATTTATTATTCTCATCAACATAAAATTTATTATTACTTTAAATCAATTCCTACTTTATCATTTATATTCATCAAATTCATTATTTTTTTAATCAAATTTATTTATCAACTAAATTTATTACTACTAACTTTAATGTTTAACAAAAAAACAATTTTTCCTCTATATTGAGTGAGCAAGACTAACCACAATAGTTTTGAGTGAACAAGGCTGCCTCGTTTAGCATTTGTGGCACTTATTTTTATGTGAATTCAAATATTTTTTGCAAAACGTTTGTTAAGATCCAAGCCCAGAAATAAACAAGCACTGGGTTAATTAAACCAACCTCCACAATTTCCTTGTGTGCACTTTGCAGTAGGTGTTTTTACAAAAAAGGGAAAAGATGTCAAATGCCATATTCAGTTGGAAAAAATTGGGGTTGATATCCACTCGACTAATGTTTATTATCTCAAATAGTCAATTTTCTTCTATCGATTGAGTGATCATCTGAGAAATTAAAAGGTCAACAAAACAAATTAAAGTAGTTTGAAACACTTCTTATATATGTTAAAGAGAAACCAGAGTCATTTTCCCAGCCGTCTTTTTGTGTATATATTTATGATACCACTACTTTTTTTTAAATTTTGGATATGGTAGCATGTGATAAAGCAAATGGAAAGTTTTGCACGGATCTTGATTTTGGCACCTTAATTAGCTTGTTATTATGTTGACAAAAAATGGATCATTCACTATGGAAATTGGAATGGTATCAACCAGCAGAAAGCAAATGAAAAATTTTCTGCTTATGTTGCACATATTGTTATGTGGTTTTGTATGCTCAATTTCTAGTGCAAAAGATACCATCACTACAACTGACTTTCTAATAGAGGGTAAGACCATTGTTTCATGTGATGAAAGCTTTGAATTGGGATTTTTTTCCCCAGGTAGTTTCGCGAATAATTGGTATGTTGGAATATGGTACAAGCACGACAACGTGCCTGATAAGTCTGTTGTATGGGTTGCCAATAGAGAAACTCCACTCAACAATACATCAGGTGTTATGCTGAAAATCGTTGATCCAGGACGACTTGCTCTTGTTACTTCTGCTAATACGAGCATATGGTCTACTAATTCGTTGAGACCTTTGGCTGTGAAGAATCCAATTGCGCAGTTGTTGAATTCAGGGAATCTTATCATAAGAGATGCAAATGATACTAAGCCTGAGAACTTCCTGTGGCAGAGTTTTGATTATCCTACTAATACGCTCTTACCAGGCATGAAACTTGGTAAGAACTTTGTGACTGGACAGGAATTTTACCTGTCCTCATGGAAGAATGAATATGATCCGGCTCCAGGGAAATATACGTATCATTGTGATCCTACTGGATATCCTCAGAATGTCATGAGGAAAGGTAAAGTTAAGGTGTTCAGTGGCGGACCATGGAATGGACTCCGCTGGAGTGGTGTACCAGGATTGACAAAAAATACTATTTATACATTTAAGCTGGATTTTGATGAAAAGAAAGCAATTTACAGTTACGCGCTCGTGGATAAATCTGTTTTATCGAAATTAACCTTGAACAGTCATGGTATGCTTAAGCGTTGGACGTGGGATGAGAAGATAAAGGAATGGCATGTTTACCTGGCTTCACCAGCAGATGCCTGTGAAAATTATGGAGCATGTGGTGCCTATGGTAGTTGCAACATCATATTTTCTCCTGTTTGTCGTTGCTTAGACAAGTTTGTGCCTAAAGATCAGAAAAATTGGTCAGTGACAAAGTGGTCCGGTGGATGTGTTAGAAGGACACCCCTTAATTGCCAGAATGGAGATGGATTTCTCAAGTACTCTGATATAAAGCTACCTGATACACAGTATTCACGGTTTGATGCGAGAATGACACTCCGAGAATGCGAGAAAGTTTGCCTAAAGAATTGTTCTTGTATGGCTTACTCAAATCTTGATATACGCAATGGTGGGAGTGGCTGTTTGCTTTGGTATGGCGACTTAATTGACATTCGAGAATTACCTGGAGGACAGGACATTTACATTAGGATAGCTAACTCAGAGTTAGGTAAAATTTATGCAACAAATTCATTACTATTTGATAAATATGAAGCATTAGCTGAATGAAGTAAACTTCACAATTATTAGCTTTAGTTGTGTTTTGCTTATCTATTTGTTAAAAAGTTCACATAGCATATATTTAGTTTATTTTACCCTCCATTTTTTTTAGGCTCGAAGAAGAAAATGAAAGCACTTGTGCTGAGTTTATCACTGTTGAGCGGAGTGTCTGTCATTGGCCTGATCATATGGCTGTATATTTTGATAAAGACGAGGAAGAAGAAGAGGAAGATGATTCTGAAAGATGATCTAGAACTTCCACTGTTTTCCCTATCAACAGTAACTAAAGCGACCTCTAATTTCTCAGACAAGAACATGCTCGGAGAAGGTGGATTTGGATCTGTTTACAAGGTAGCATAACTTGTAGGTTTATTATATGTACTATAATTGACAGTAAACAGATAAGTAACACTTTGAATTATCACTGTCAAGACATCCTTAGCTTCAATATGAGTCAGCTGTATGTTATGATATTGTAGGGAATCCTGGAGGGAGGACAAGAAGTAGCTATGAAGAGGCTCTCAAAATCTTCCTCGCAAGGAGTCAACGAGTTCAAGAATGAAGTTAATTGTATTGCCAAACTTCAGCATCGAAACCTTGTGAAGCTTATAGGTTGCTGCGTTGAAGGAGAAGAGAAAATTCTGGTCTACGAATACATGCCCAATAGAAGTCTTGATTTCATCATATTTGGTATGCTTACTCTTGCTTAACACATAAAACCTCAAGTACTGCTCATAGTATAGCATTGAGCTTGCAGCTTTCACCATGATTTTGGAAAAGGTTGTTAATTTCAAATGGAAGTAGATTCTGTTTAACATACTAAAAGCAGTTAGAGCATCAGTTACTATACTAATTGTTGGAAGATCTGTTAACAGATGAAGACAAGAGCTCGATACTCGACTGGCCTAAGCGCTTCAACATCATCAATGGAATTGCTAGAGGACTTTTGTATCTCCATCAAGATTCTCGGCTAAGAATTATCCATAGAGACCTCAAAGCTAGTAACATTTTGCTAGACGCTGACATGAACCCCAAGATCTCGGATTTTGGCATAGCTAGAAGTGTGATAGGGAATGAGACGGGTGCTAATACACATCATGTGGTTGGGACACAGTAAGTGATTTCACACTACGACCTTTTAGCATTTATCTCATGTACTACTCATATAGTATCATCTGTGTAACACTATTTTCTGTTTGATATGTGATGCAGTGGCTACATGTCCCCAGAGTATCTAATACATGGTGTTTTCTCGATAAAATCAGATGTATTTAGCTTTGGCGTGTTGGTTCTAGAGATAATCAGTGGTCGAAGAAACAGAGGATTTTTCCATGAAAGTCACAGTATCAACCTTCTCGGACATGTAAGTTTTGTATGTTAAAAAGTACTTACATATTCAGATTTCAGACCACTCGTAAGGTAATTACAAGTGATAGTGTAACTAAACTGATAGTGTAAAAAGTCTTACTAAGTGTCGGTGTATATAACTTAAATCTATTAAACACGCTTCACTTGCTTGTACTGATCTGTTATTAGCAGGTTTGGAAACTTTATAAAGAAGGTAGACCATTGGAGCTGATTGATGTGCATATTACAGATTCATGTTATTTTACTGAATTACTACGGATAATTCATGTCGCTCTATTATGTGTACAACATAGTCCAGAAGACAGGCCAGACATGTCTGAAGTGGTTGTGATGTTGGCTAATGATGCCATTTTGCCTGAAGCTAAGGAACCTGGTTTTTACACAGAAAGCAAATTCCCTGATTCTGAATATTCTACAAGCATGTATTCGAAAAACGAAATCACTATTACACAGTTAGATCCCCGGTAAATTAAATTTCATATTCTTGTAGATCTTTAAATGTCTAGAAGCTTGAATAACAGAGGAGAACATTTTATGAGTTGTATCATATTAGGAAAGAATTTACCTAACTCTTGAATTAAAAAAAGACAGCCTGGAGCACTAAGCTCTCGACATTCATGGATTCAGGTCAGAATTGGACCACACGGGTCTATTGTACGACAGTTTTACAGGCACTTGAGTATTAGTTACAAATTGCCATTGTTGCGTATGTTACATGGTTTTGTTATACTTACAGATACGTATCCACTCTGGGTGTGTGTAAGAATCTAATATGAATACTACAGTTTTTTTTGAAATTTTAATCTACTCTCCAAAGTTCAATTAAAAAAAAAATTGAACATGAGTACATATAATGAGAGATATATCATCACCTCTTGAGAATTTACAAGAACACTATTAGCTTATTTAAAAGTTTGGTAAATACCAAAGTGTTTATAAGCCACTACTCAAGGGCAAGCCAAAGTTTGTACCTTTTAGTGTCAAATTGATGAAGTACTCCACCATGCAATATTCAAGACCTCATTTGCTATTAGAAACAGGTAATGCAATTTTCAATTTACTTATAATTGTTCCACAATGACATTCTGTTGAGCCGCTGGTAAGGACTAAGGAGATGTTAGAGGTTGGCAATAGAGGGCTTGAGCAGAGGTAAAAGTAGACTGAAAAAGTATTATGAGGATATGAACCTTGATAGGAGAGCAAGAAGGTTCAAAGATTAGAATAGAAGATTAGTAAATAGTATTGTTTTGCTTTTTCATTCCGGGATTAGTAGTATTAGAGTCTGTTTGACGTCGTTATTGGGAGACCAAAAACAGTTATCTCAAAGAGAAAAAATATAACACTTGTTTTGAAAAATTAAAGGTTTGACAAATTAATAAAACTGTTATTATTATTTTTTTGTTTATATATTATTATTATTATTATATATTTTACATATTATTTTGGGATTAGAAAAAAAAGGTAATATTAATTGAAAATTTGATAGCAATACCTCTGAAAATTGTATTTCCCCGTTTCTAGTTGGTATGACTCTCTTAGGAGTCCGTCTTCCTCAAGGAAACAAACAGCTGTAAGTTAGGGCTCGAAATCTCAAGTATATAAGCGGCAAAAGGAGATCTTCAGCCGCATAGTTAACGGCAAAAAAGCAACAAGGAGCATATTGTGATTCGAGCAGATTCAAGTTGGTGTCAAGGTTAGCATTATAAATTGCAGTAGTTACATAGGGAGTTTAACTTTTTGGAGAATTGTTAGATCACGATACTTTAAGAGTCCTTAGATTGCTAATTTGTAATCTGAATCCTATTTGGTTTTTCGTTTTCCAAGATAATTTTGTGTCTTATTGATTCTGTTTTGCTGTTTGCTGTGTTAATAGGTGTAGTCGGTTGAATTAGTTTTTTTAATTGGTATAAGAGCGGATATCAATGGCTGCCCCACCCATATTTCAGGAAGGAGCTTCGCTAACTCGGCCTCCATTCTTCAATGGGAAGTACTACGGATGGTGGAAGAATAGGATGATGGACTTTATAATCGCAGAGAATTATGATTTGTGGAATGTTGTGATGGATGGTCCAATCATCCCCACAAAGCTTGGAGCTGATGGAACAGTTCTTCCTAAAGGAAGACTTGAACTAACTCCAGAAAACAAAATTGCGCTACAGAACAATGCCAAGGCTAAAAACATTTTGATTTGTGGCCTTGGTCCTGATGAATACAATAGGATCTCGTCTTGCTCTACTGCTAAAGAAATTTGGGACACTCTACAAACTGCTCACGAGGGTATGAGTCAAATGAAAAAATGTAAGATAGACTATCTGAACAGAAAGTATGAACTATTTAGGATGAAAGATGGTGAAACTATTCAGGAGATGCATAGCAGGTTTACATCTATTATCGACGAAATGGACTCACTTGGGGAGTAGCTACCAAGTGGCAAAGCTGTAAGGAAGTTTTTTAGAGTACTGCCTAATTCATGGGAAAGTAAAGTTGAAGCAATTACTGAAGCACGTGATCTTGACTCTGAGGAACTGACGACCAGAATGTTTCAGGAAATGTTGAGCAAGGGTCGTTAGTCGAGAACAACAGGTATGCCACAAGTGTGGAAGTCCTGAACAATTCTGGTTTAGTATTCAGAACCAGAATAGGTGTAGTGGGTTGAAGTAGTTTTCTCATTGTTGTTCCTGCTTGTTGCTATTTTCGTCTTTTTCATCTTTTTTGAGTTGAGGGCCTATCGAAAACAACCTCTCCAATATGGTCTTGATTACTCTTTTCTATTTTTCCAGTGTCTGCTAACATGAACAAGGGTGAATGCTAATGATGATTCTGTTTGCTTTAACCAGAAAATTGTACTTTTTCTGGTATTACAGTTCACATATCTTTCTAAGATATAAATTAAAATTTAGTTGTATGTCTCTCGAATGCAAAAATAATTACTTTTAATTTAAAGAACATCGATGACAACTTTGTACCATTTTCTAGATATACTTTAACTAAAATGTGGAGTTGCAATGCGCGAATTCCACTACTAACAATAGAAACAAATAGAAGAAGTTTTCATCCATAAGTAAATAACATCTTACAACCAAAAAACAACAACAGTGGTAGTAAGAAATAAATAGAAGAAGTTTTCATCCATAAGTAGATAACATCTTACAACTAAAACAACAACAACATACCCAGATATAGTAGATAACATCTTCATGTAGAGAAATCCAAATTGCTGTTTAATATAGATGTTGTTATATTAGTCAAGAATCAAATTTCTATGCTATTTATAAAATTACTATTCATGTGCACACAAGTCAAAATAGTTTTCTTGTTTACACTCTACCGAGGATCTAACAATGTGATTGTGACTTCATTTTTCGAACTTCTTGTCTGCGATCCTGATTTTTCTTTATCAAATATGTTTCGTTCTGTGAAAAATCCCGGTTCTTTTGCTTTTGGCAGTAGACTCTCATTAGCCAACATATGAACCACAGAAGACATGTTTGGTCTATCAGCTGGATTTTGTTGCACGCATAATAAACCCACATGGATTAACCTCAAAGCTTGAGATATATGGAAAGAATTGTTTAGTTGCTCATCAATTAGTTCCAAGGACATATCTTCTTTGTAAAGCTTCCATGCCTGTTTGAGTTTAGATATTATGAATAATGACAAATTCTATTATTGTAAAGAAAAGAATGACCGAGAAGGTTATACAGTGCTTACATGACCGAGAAGGTTAAGGTTGTGATCTTGATGGACAAATCCTCTATTTCTCTTGCAACTCACAATCTCTAACAACAAGACACCAAAACTAAAAACATCTGATTTTACCGAGAAGATCCCATCTACTGCATATTCTGGGGACATGTACCCACTGTGCCAACAAAACAACACCAAAAGAATTAAAGAAGAAAAATGTCATATGAGAGTACATTATATGATATTAGAGATCCTTACTGTGTCCCAACCACATTGCGTGTTTTTGCTCCCATCTCATTTCCTGCAACACTTCTAGCCATGCCAAAGTCTGATATTTTAGGATTCATATCTGTATCTAGCAAAACATTGCTTGCTTTAAGGTCTCTATGGATAATTCGTAGTCGAGAATCTTGATGAAGATATAATAAGCCGCGAGCAATTCCATTTATGATGTTGAAACGCTCTGGCCAATCAAGTAATTTGCTCTTTGTTTTATCTACAAATTAAAATAAGCTTTCTTGTCAGCAGTTTCTTTAATGTTTTGACTAATAGATCAAAGTATTACTCATTTTAGCTTGTGTAGTAGGTTAGAAATCCATACCAAATATGTATGAATCCAGGCTTTTGTTAGGCATGTATTCATAAATCAACATCTTTTCTTCCCCTTGGATGCAGCAGCCTAGAAGTCTCACAAGATTTCGATGCTGAAGCTTGGCGATGTAGATAACTTCATTCTTGTATTCATCAAGTCCTTGCATGGAAGTCCTTGACAGTCTCTTCACAGCAATTTCTTGTCCCTCTTCCAGCACTCCCTAGAAATTGAAAATGTATAATAGCAGAACATAGATTTTGCAAAGACGAGAATATTGCAGAATGAAAATTATCTGTAACATTCTTATCTTGAGCATAAACTAGTTACTTTACCAACAAATTTGCATTGTGTACCTTGTAAACAGGTCCAAATCCACCCTCTCCAATCTTGTTATTGAGTGAAAAGTTATCTGTGGCTCTTGTTATGGTTGACAATTGGAACAGTGGCAGCTCAAAATCTTCTTTGTGTTGCAGTTTCTTCTTCTTTTTCCGTTTGTACAACAACAAAATCAGGCTAAGCAGAATCATTGCCATCAACAATGAGAAACTCAATGTGAGTATCTTTGCCTTCTTTCTTTTTGAACCTGCCTCAGATTCTACAATCAATTTCTTAAGTCAGCTACTGCAAATCGACATAGGCCACTAACTTTGCATAATACCATCTCTATGTGTTGAAAAACTAAGTGTAAGAAACACATCAAGGAAATTTCTTAAACAAGTTCTTACCTTGCTCTGAAGAATCCATCCTGATGTAAATGTCTTGTCCTCTTTCAGACAGCCTTCTGATGTCAATCAATTCCCCAAACCATAGTAAGCAGCCTTTGTCTCCGTTGCTTATATCTAGACTTGAATAAGCTGTGCAAGAGCAGTTCCTGAAGCATACCTTCCTACAGTCTTCGAGTGTCATTGTTTTATAGTAATGAGAGTGCTTAGTATCCGGCAACTTGATTCCAGAATATTTTATGAACACATGTTCCTTGTTGCAGTCTAGAGGTGTCTTCCGTACGCACCCTTCTAACCAATCTCCCCTTTCCCATTGTTGTGGATATTTAGCTACAAACTTTTCCAGACATCCACAAACCGGAGTATTATCTATGTCACAGCTCCCATAGGCACCACATAAGCTATGTGTATCACAATTATCCGCTGGTAAATTGTAGTAAATATGCCATCTCTTTGTCCGATCCACCCACGTCAAACGTTGTATATAACCGCTGCTAGTCAGGACTAGTCTTGTTATAGTCGAACTGTTAATGAGTGTATAGCTATAGTAAACCTCCTCCTCATTGAAACCAAATTGGAAATGGCAGCATTCTAGTAGAGGTATAGGGGACCCACTCCATCGTAAACCATTCCATGGTCCTATACGAGCTGATACACTTGGGCCACGTTTGGTGAGTAACTGTGGATATCCAGTAGGATCGATGGTACGAGTGAATTCACCTGGAGCGGGATCATTATCTTCCTTCCATGCTGAAAGGTAAACCTCATGTCCAATTCTAAAATTCTTGCCTAGCTTCATACCAGGCAAGTGCGTATCCGTTGGAAAATTGAAACTCTCCCAGAGGAAATCTTCTAGATTGTCAACATTTGCATCTTTTACAACAAGATTACCAGAATCTAAAAGCACTGCAACTGGATTCTGGACTGATCTTGAGGTGTTAGTGGACCATATAGTTTCATTCTTGTCGTTAAGAAGAGTAAGTATTCCCGGCTTGGTGACCTTCAAAACGACTGAAGATGTAGTGGTGAGTGGTTTATCTCTGTTTGCAACCCATACAACTGTTTGTACATGAGAAAGAATTTGCTTGTACCATATCCCAATATATCGATTTGAGGAACCGCTGGAGCTGAAAAATCCCAGCTCAAAGGTTCCACCGTTTGAAACAATAGTTTCACCATCTATGATGGATTGATTTGTAGTGATTAAGTTTGTAGAAAAATTATTGCGTATAGAAGAGCAGAAAGTCAACAGAAAAAGTAGGAAGAAACAAGTTTCCATAGATATGCCTTGAGGTCTAAGTGTTTGATCAGCTATACATTTATGAAATTTGCATTTATTCCATATGATCCTTTGGGACATGGCACCATATTTATTCTGTTTGAATAGTCGTTAACAATGGCGGTTGTAGAAGGGCAGTTGAAGTTTGTAAGGCTCTTAAACAAATTTTACATAAAAAATTGGAATTGAGAAACTCCGTTCCCATTTTGGAAAAAGAAGAGTAGAAAGACAATACAAGAAACTAGCTAGCGTCCATTATTGATGTTGCCTAAGTCTTTGGTCGCCTATTGATTGACTATGATTTTGTCTTTAGAGACAAATTTCACTTAATGTGATGTTGCAGTGTTGAAATTCCGTAGCACGTTTTTGAATATTTATAGTTTTTCACACTTAACAGGCTCTGAAAGAAAAAGAAGAAAAAAGATGTAAATTTTCATTTTTTAAAAACAGCGTCTGGACAACGGCAACATTTAATTAAAAAAAAATGGACCATTTAGGAAGAAAACAAGATAGAAATTTCATGATTGTGATGTTAATATGATATGTCATTTTCTGCGCAATTAATTAGTATAAGAAGTCTATGTCCATTCCAAAAAGACCTGACTTTTGGGGAGAATACAAGCGAGTGAGCGACATACGGGCCTAAGTCTTAATAAAGTCGGAGATAATATCTTATATGGTGTCACTGAACAACGTAGAAATCAGGATAGTTCACTTAAAAAACTAATCAACTTTATTTTATTACTCAAAATTTACTGATTTTTTTTATATTTCACCTAGATCACCCATCAATATATTCTTCTTCTATATAAAAAAGAATGACTTAATATGATTTGACACAAAATTTAAGCAAATAAAAAACTTTTTAATTTTGTAGTTCTAAATTAAAATTACGTCAAATATATCAAAATATTTTTTGATCTTGTAGCCTTAGATATGTCATGTGTAAAATTAAAATTAAATTATTATCAAAAAATAAAAGAGTCATTCTTCTTTTTTTAAACAAATTAAAAAGGAAATGAGGTGATTCTTTTGTAAACAGAGGGAGTATGATCTTTTTTGTTAAAATTACCGAAATGAAAATTTTATATTTATTTTTGGATCAAATTATTAATGGTACATTTTTGGACTATTAAATTAAGGGACATTTTTTTTTTTAGCTTTTCCGTTTCTTTTTCATATTTTATATATAAATAAATATAATGTTTTTCACTGTTGCTCTGTTTTCGTCACAGGGACGAAGCTTTAAGCCACAAATTAATGGCGCTTTCCAGACTCCATCTCCGGCAGTCGCCGCTCCGTTGTAACGCTAGGGCTCCATATTTTGGTATACTTCTTCAGTTCTTTGCTGCTACTTTCATGATTTTGATATTTGGGGAAAATTGTTGGTGGAGTGATTCTACATTACCTGTGTACTCGTTTGAGTTAATTGGCATTCACTTATAGATTAAACTTTATTTAAGAAGAAACGAATCTGATTTCATTCTGGCTTTTCTTATTTGTTCTTTACAAAAATAATAATAATTTATAGTTGGTATATCAAAGTTTCTTTCTGATTGATTCCAATTTTCATTAAAAAAAAAAATGAAATAACTCGAGAGGGTAGTGTAGTTATCGCTCTATTGAATCAGAAGAATGACTTTCGCCTTTGGAACATATAAGTTCGATACAAATAACAAAGAATAGAAATTAGAGAGCAGGTGTCTTTCGCTAGTGGAAAATGCGCAGTTCATTTGAGGTATCATTACATATTTTTATCTCTGATTAGAGTGGTCTCACCCTTTAAGGACTTCTCTGGGTTTTGAAATGGTTCAAAATATATTGCTTCATTTTAGCAGAGTTAGTGAAAAGTCTTTTGGCCTCACGTTATGCTGGGTTTTGAATGGTCAACATTTGGTTATTGAAATAGTTTATTCTAAGAAAATATGATTCTTTCTCAAAAATTGATTTTGTTGAGAATTTTATATGATTTTACTAGGGGTATAATGCAATATGACAATTTATGTGACGTAAAAGAATGCACTCACTACTTTTTGGGGTGAATGCAGTTTATTGACATCAAAATGAGTTGCACTAATTCAGATGAAAGAAAAAAAAGGTCTAAACACTGCAAAGTGAAAAGAGAAAAAAAGCATAAGAATTTTTTAGAATGGCTCAATGGAGCAAGGCATGACAAGGCGAGCTAAAATGTAGTGGATTAAGGTTAGCCCCTCCGTTTATCATCAATTGTTTTTTGCTTGTTTACTATTTTATATTTTGAACCCCCAAATCATGTCTCCGCCACTAAAAAGAGTTACTTTGTCACACTCTACCGAGGATCTAACAATGTGATTGTGACATCATTTTTTGAACTTCCTGTCTGTGATCCTGATTTCTCTTCACCAAATACGTCTCGTTCTATGAAAAATCCCGGTTCTTTTGCTTTTGGAAGTAGACTCTCATTAGCCAACATCTGAACCACAGAAAACATGCTTGGTCTATCATCTGGATGTTGTTGCACGCATAATAAACCCACTTGGATTGACCTCAAAGCTTGAGAAATATTGCAAGAATCAGCCAGCTGCTCATCAACTAGTTCCAAAGACTTATCTTCTTTGTAAAGCTTCCATGCCTGTTTGAGTTTAGATGTTATGAATCATGACAAATTCCATTACTGTAAAGAAAAGAATGAGTTGTGTGTGTAATAAAGGTTATACAGTGCTTACATGACCGAGAAGGTTAAGGTTGTGATCTTGATGGACAAACCCTCTATTTCTCTTGCAACTCACAATCTCTAACAACAAGACGCCAAAGCTAAATACATCTGATTTTACCGAGAAGATCCCATCTATTGCATATTCTGGGGACATGTAACCACTGTGCCAACAAAATAACACCCTGAGAATTAAAGCAAGATGTCATATGAGAGTACATTGTATAATATTAGAGATTCTTACTATGTCCCAACTACATTGTGTGTTTTTGCTCCCATCTCATTTCCTGTAACACTTTTGGCCATGCCAAAGTCTGATATCTTTGGATTCATTTCTATATCTAGCAAAACATTGCTTGCTTTAAGGTCTCTGTGAATAATTCGTAGTCGAGAATCTTGATGGAGATATAATAAGCCACGAGCAATTCCATTGATGATGTGGAAACGCTTTGGCCAATCAAGTAATTTTTTCTTTGTTTGATCTACAAAATAAGTTTTCTCGTTAGCAGTTTCTTTCAGGTTATGACTAATAGATCAAAGTATTACTCATTTTATCTTGTGTAGTAGGTTAGAAATCCAAACCAAATATGTACGAATCCAGGCTTCTGTTTGGCATGTATTCATAGATCAACATCTTTTCATCCCCTTGGATGCAGCAGCCCAGAAGTCTCACAAGATTTCGATGTTGAAGCTTGGCAATATAGATAACTTCATTCTTGTACTCATCAATTCCTTGCATGGAAGTCCTTGACAGTCTCTTCACGGCAATTTCTTGCCCCTCTTCCAGCAATCCCTAGAAATGGCAAATGTGTTAGAGTCCCACATCAGTGGGATGAGGAGAATTTGGACTCCTTATATGATCTTGGGCAATCCTCCCCTCATAAGCTAGCATTTGAGTTGAGTTAAGCCCAAGGTTCATTTCATTACATGGTTTTAGAGCTAAGCCCATCCCAATTTATGGTTTACCGATGTTGGGCCCCCATATTAATTGTTCTCTAGATGTCCAGTGTGAGACGGGGTCTTTGAGTCCCACGTTGGTGGGATGAGGAGAATTTGGACTCTTTATATGGTTTGGGCAATGCTCGCTTTTGGGGTTGAGTTACGCAAGGTTCATTTCTTTACAAAATGTATAATAGCAAAGCAGAGATTTTACAAAGACGAGAACATTGCAAAATTAAAATCTTCTCCAACACTCTAACCTTGAGCATAAACTAGTTACTTTACAAACAAATTTGATCTATATACCTTGTAAACAGCTCCAAATCCACCTTCTCCAATCTTGTTGTTGAGCGAAAAGTTATTTGTGGCTCTTGTTAATGTCGACAATTGGAACATTTGCAGCGCAAAATCTTCTTTGAGTAGCAGTTTCTTCTTCTTTTTCCGTTTGTGCAACAAAAAAATCAGGCTTAGCAGAATCATTGCCATCAACAATGAGAAACTCATGAGTGTGAGTATCATTGCCTTATTTCTTTTTGAACCTGCCTCAGATTCTGCAATAAATTTCTTAAATCAGCCATGGTAAATCGAGATAGGCCACTAAGTGTAAGAAACACATCATGGGAAATTTCTTAAACAAGTTATTACCTCGCTCTGAAGAATCCATCTTGATGTAAATGTCTTGCCCTCTTTCAGACAGCTTTCGGATGTCAATCAATTCCCCGAACCAAAACAAGCAACCTTTGTCTCCGTTGCTTATATCTAGACTTGAATAAGCTGTGCAAGAACAGTTCCTGGAGCATACTTGCCTACACCCTTTGAGTGTCATGGTTTTATTATACTGAGAGTACTTAGTATTTGGCAATTTGATTCCAGAATATTTTATAAATACATGTTCCTTTTTGCAATTTAAGGGTGTCCTCCGAACACACCCTTCAGACCAATCTCCCTTTTCCCATTGTTGTGGATATCTAGCTACAAACTTTTCCAAACATCCACAAACCGGTGTATCATCTATATCACAGCTCCCATAGGCACCACATAGGCTATGTGTATCACAATAATCCGCTGGTAAATTGTAGTAAATATGCCATCTCTTTGTCCAATCCACCCACTTTAAATGTTGTATATAACCATTGCTAGTCAGGACTAGTCTTGTTAAGTCCAAGCTGTTAATGAGTGAAAAGCTATAGTAAACCTCCTCCTCATTGAAAATAAATTGAAAAAAGCAGCATTCTAGTAGTGGTATGGGTGATCCACTCCATCGTAAACCATTCCATGGCCCTATACGAGCCGCTACACTTGTGCCACTTTTGATGAGGGCTTGTGGATATCCAGTAGGATCAATGTGACGTGTGAATTCACCTGCAGCTGGATCATTATCGTTCTTCCATGCTGAAAGGTAAACCTCATGGCCAGTTCTAAAATTCTTGCCAAGCTTCATTTCAGGCAAGTGCGTATCAGTTGGAAAATGGAAGCTCTGCCAGAGGAAATTTTCTGGATTGTCATCATTTGCATCTTTGACAACAAGATTACCAGAATCTAAAAGCACTGCAACTGGATTTTGGACTGATCTTGAGGTGTTCGTGGACCATATCATTTCATTCTTGCCATTGAGAAGAGCAAGTATTCCCCACTTGTTAACCTTCAAAACGACTGAAGATGTATTGGTGAGTGGTTTCTCTCTGTTTGCAACCCATACAACTGTTTGCATATGAGGAAGAATTTGTTTGTACCATATCCCAATGTATCGCTTTGTAGAATCATTGGGGCTGAAAAATCCCAGCTCAAAGGTTCCACCTGATGAAACAACAGTTTCACCATCTGCAATTGACTGATTTGTCGTGATTACATTTGTTGTAGTGGAAATGATCTTGGGTATACAATAGTAGAAAGACAGTAGGAAAATTAGTAGGAAGAAAATAGTTCCCATTTACTATGCCTTGATGCCTAAGTTTAAGTTGTGTGGCCTATATATCATCCACAATAGTTAGATTTTAGACTTCAGGTGTTGTTTCACACTCATGAATTAAATTGTGTTAATTACTACTACTTGACAATTGACATGCCTTTGGGACACGGCATTTACTAATATTGTTTATTTCTACTAGTCATTATCGATCTGAGATAATTTGTCGAGTAAATATCTTAAAACGTTATTCTACATTAACCATCAATCTCTACAATCAATGTTGCAGTCACTGCAGAAGGGAGACTTCAACTACTCCCTACTTTGAAATCTAAGTTTCTTGGCTGATCTCATCCAAAATTCAACAAAATACGGTATGATTATGGATGGACATTTGGTGATCTTACCTAGGTTCGATTTTTGACTAGCAACTTTTCAAAGGAATTCTAATTTTTTGACATTTTAGTAATTATAGTCCAGTTTTCTCTTAATTTCTTTTTTTTTCTTTAGTTTTCAAAGAGTTCACCTCAAATTTTGTATTGAAATTGATATGTCTATACTATCCGAAGGAAAAACAGAATATTTATATTAAAGATAGTTATGCCCCCGACACTCGTAATTCCTTCTCTCAAAGAAGAGAAGGAAATTGCCGTGCGAGTTGGGAAAAAGTAGTTTAACTTTCATGTGATAGTAAACTACATGAAATGGACTTCCTTCAATTTGTATTTGTAAGTGATATAAATGGAGGACCACACGTCCAACCTCACTCTTAAATTCATATTTGGAAGTCACTAAAATTGGTAGACTCGTAATATACGTTGGAACGTGAATCTTGTGTTGGAAGACAAGATTTTATTATAATTGATATTATTGTAATATAGTATGAATAATCTTAGTTTATGAATTAGAATTTAGAAAGATTAATGTATTAGTCTCACATGCATTTAATTAAAATATTGAAATACTAATTGAGGCCAAACTCTAGAAGTTTAAATTTCAAAAGAAATTGATTAACTTCATTTGTGTAAATATTGAACTCTTGTACAGTCAGTTTTGAAAGTTTGAATTGTACAAAAACAATCGTAAGATTTACTTACTAAAATTCAGGATTGATGGAGAACCTAATTTTGTTAAAGTTTTTTTTTTTTTTTTTGGTAAAAGCAAGATACTTAGAGTTAATATCTCAGATGGTCACTCAACTATGCACTCTTCTCTCAGAAAGTCACTCAACTTTTAATTTTCACTCAAAAGTCACTCAACTATGCACTTCTTTCTCAGAAAGTCACTCAACTTTGAATTTTAACTCAAAAGTCACTCAATTATCCACTCTTTCTTCAGGAAGTCACTCAATCTATTTAATTGTTTTTTTAATTAAAATTTGCTGATATTAATTGTTTATATAACAAATCAAAATTTTAAAAATAAAAATAATCATTTAAACCATTTAGTGATCCACCCACCTAACCCGATCCATTAAAAATAATAATATGACCCATTTTATTTTGCCTTTAATCCTAAATTTAAACATTCTGACAAGTCTAAGTAAAATTAAGGAATTTACTGATATTAAACGAGATCAATTTAAACAAATCAGCAACGTAACAGGCAAAAATCTATCATTTAAACTAATCCTTAATTAAAATTTTTAATTAAAATTTGCTGATATTAAACTAATCCTAACGTAACAGGCAAAAATTTATCATTTAAACTAATCCTTAATTAAATTTTTTAATTAAAATTTACTGATATTAATTGTTTAAATTTAGGATTAAAGGCAAAATAAAATGGGTCATATTATATTTTTTAATGGGTCGGGTTAGGTGGTGGATCACTAAATGGTTTAAATGATAGTTTTTATTTTTTAAAATTTTGATTTGTTATATAAACAATCAATATCAACAAGTTGTAATTAAAAAACAATTAAATAGATTGAGTGACTTTCTGAGGAAAGAGTGGATAGTTGAGTGACTTTTGAGTTAAAATTCAAAGTTGAGTGGCTTTCTGAGAAAGAAGTGCATAGTTGAGTGACTTTTGAGTGAAAATTGAAAGTTGAGTGACTTTCTGAGAGAAAAGTGCATAGTTGAGTAACTTTCTGAGAGAAAAGTGCATAGTTGAGTGACCATCTGAGGTATTAACTCAAGATACTTATATTAACAATTTAATATGCATCATTACATGAGATGGGCAGAGCAGTACGCTCGCTTAGTAACGTAAGGGAGGATTCAGCAGCATTGTAGCTATTACATACATTAGGAGCTAATATTGGCTTTTGTAATCTAACAAAAATGTTCCTTCATTGTCTGTTTCCAGCGCTTCTGAGACAAACACCGGAGGAACAACCAAGCACAAAAAGGAGTTATCTTGGACTGTTTTTTATCCTTCCCTTGCTAGTGCATCTGCCACCCTATTAGTCTCCCTAAACGAGTGGTGGATTGGGGGGCTCCCCAGCCTGCGCAGCAGATCCCTGCAATCAAGAAGCATGTTAGTGTAGGAAGGGTGATCATTATTTATGATGCTTATGAGTTCCTTGCAATCTATGTTGATCTCTAATGGCATTAGACCTCTGATTAATGCCAATTTGAGCCCCTGTATAAGTGCTGTTAATTCTGCTCTAATGTTATTTGCCAGATGGAGATTTCCTACGAAGCCTACTATCCATTCTCCTTTGGTGTCTCTTATGACTCCACCTATTCCGCTTTTGCCTGGGTTTCCTTTTGAGGATCCATCAGTATTCAACTAGTAGCCTTGTATAGGAGGAATCCATCTGATCAAAGTTTTGATCGTTTTTTCCTTTAGGCAAGTGTTTCCCGTAAGGGTGTAGAACTCGATGGCTTGGTTAAGAATTTTTTTCGTGCAGATGTTAGTTTTAGTGTTCTGGTGGTACTTTTCATTCCTCTTGAGCCCTATGTTCCATAGGAAGAAGGGGAATCCCTCTTTCTAGCTAATGTATTTTGTGTTTAAAAGTACTTGGAGGTTTTTAATGATGTTTAGCCAATCACTCCCTTGGGTATTTCCAACCTAATTTATGGATTGTAGCACTTTGAAACTTTTCCACATTTTTCTTACGGTATAGCATTCTACAAAAATATGTTCTATTGTCTCCATTTTGTTACATATGTGGCATAGTGGGTCAATCTTTATTCCTATAGAATGTAAATACTTTCGAGTAGGTAATCTTTTATGTTGGCATAGCCAAATGAAGTATTTTATTTTGTTTGGGCAGTAAAGGGGCCATATCCAACTGAAGCTATCAGAAGTAATGGTCTTATCTTGTTCTGCTAGCATTTTATATACGGAGGTCATTGATAGTGTTCCTCGAGGGCTTGGCCTCCACATAGCCTTATCTTTTCTGTTATGGGATATGTATGTATAATTTATTTGTAGGAGGATATCTTTCGAGAGCTCAAAGGTTATTACGTTTAAGTTCAGAATGTTGTTCTTTAGAATTACTTCTCCCACTCTAATGTTATTTTCTTTTTTTCTAAGGGGGCCCTGTATTTGTTCCCTAATTGTTTTCCCATTTGGTAGCCAAACATCGTACCAGAAGGATGTCGACTTTCCATCTCCCAGAACCCATCCCATGCCTTTTCTGCATATATTCCAGCCTGTTAGCATATCTTTCCAGAGTTTGCTATGTGTACTGTTGGCTTTGGTATCCTTATCTAATTTCATATTGCTGGAATACTTCCTTAGTAAAATTGAGGCCCATGGCAAATTTGGTTGTTGAAAAGCTCTCCAAGCTAATTTAGATAGGAGGGCTAAATTTTTTGTTTCTGATCTTTGGATGCCCAATCCTCCTTCATTTTTTTTGGAGGTTACTACTTTCCATTTAACCATATGTAATTTCCTTTTCTCACTAGTGGATCCCCAGATGAAATTATGTTGTATTTGATCAATTTTTTGTGTGATAGTTCTTGGTAATTTTATCATTTGCATGATATGAGTGGGAATATTATTTAGACAGACTTTTGCTAAGGTAGTGCATCCTGCTAGATTAAGAAATTTTGTCTTCCATCCTGCTAGTTTCGATTGGAGGTTGTCAATAATGAATTGGAAGTCGTTGTTTGAGCTTCTTTTGTGCATAATTGGGAAGCCTAAGTATTTTCCAAAATGATTGCCTTTTTTTATGTTCAGCTTCTTGGATATCATGTTGCTTGTATTGTCAGGACAATTTTTGGAGAATATTAGTTTTGATTTGCTCGTGTTTACTACTTGTCCAGAGGATTCGCAGAAGTCTTTCATTATTTTCAGAATACACTTACAGTTGGCTTTATTAGCTCTACTCATCAGTACTAGGTCGTCTGCAAAAAATAAGTGTGATATCAAGGGCCCTTTGTGGGATATTTTTATTGGAGATCAGTTTTTCAGTTGGACCTCCTGATCTATTTTCCTAGATAGGATTTCCATACAGAGGATAAAGAGGTATGGTGATAGTGGATCCCCTTGTCTTATCCCCCTTGATGGTTCAAAGAATTCTGTTTTATTTCCATTGACTAGGATCGATATTTTACTTGTCGTAACACACGGATAAGGTTTATAATGTTACGAGGGAAGTGAAAATAGATAAGAGTTTCTCTGATTAAGGACCATTCTATTTTGTCAAAAGCTTTCTCGAGGTCTGTTTTTAGAATTAGGTTTGCCTTCTTCCCTTTCATTTTTCCGAAGTGGGAAATGATTTCTTGGATGATGATGGCATTATCCGAGGCTTGTCGATTTTTTAGGAAACTTGTCTGGCAGGGCCCAATTAATTTATCCATAAAGGGCCTCAGCCGTTGGGAAATAATTATACGAACGTTTGCTCTAAATAAAGAAGTTGATAGCCATTTGATGTGTTTTTCTGTATTTTTTCATTTCTTTTTTCCTCCCAAGTAATTTAATACTTACTATAGTTTAACTATAGGGACCAGTGACGACTATTTAAGCATTAAGGTTACAAACTTTGACAACATTTTATTTTATTAAATGAGCATCAAACAATAATCTCGTTTCCTCGCGATGAGCGGATAGGAGAAAAATAACATGATAAAATAAATAATCTACTTTTTATCACCAATATCTTCTTCTTCTTTTCTATAGGAATAATCAAAT